CTGGAGTTGTCTTGTTACCAACAGTGGGTGGCAGTAAGGAGAGAACTATTCCATGGCGGAGACACGGAGAACGAGTTCAACCCGTGGGAATACAGATGGTGCAATGTTTATTGAAATAAGGCGAATAACTCCCAAATCTTCCACCATGGAAACTCGGGGTGCTGGGGCAATAGCGCTCTAAAGTAAGAGTCGTGCATCGCGGACCGCCGGGCGTGACCCCGAAGTCCGGTCGGCTCGGGTGGGTGGCTCTGTCCCAGTGGCGAAGCGAGCGTGGGGCAGGCAGATGGGGGGGGGCTGACCCTTCCTCCCATTGGTGGCCAAAGCTACGAGTCGATGCCCTCCTTGATAACCACCACGAGGTATTTAACACGTATGGCCACGAGGAATGTGTTCAACAACAGTGTAAAAAGAACAACAGACATATTTAAAACGCGGTTGAATATTTTATTTAATGAAAATGCTTTCATTTACGTTCCACCTTTTATTTTCATTTAATCAGAGCAGTAACGTAATATTGCAAGGGATGTAAAATGCACAACGGAGCTGTATTGGCTGGATTTTTGCGATGACGGAGCGCCCCTACAGCGTTAAAAGTTCCAGACCGCGAGCGTAACGACGATGCGACCAGGGCAAGAGAAGCCGCGATATGTAATAGCCTCTGGCTACGACCGTGCGAGACAAATCAAATATTGAGGCCCCGCCTGACCGATTGGCGCACACCCTGAGCTGAGAATGTCGTCACTAGGACACTGGTCTGTCCTGAAGACGTCTGTCTGCACAAGGCTTTGCGTTCATCGCGGGTCACACCGTTGGTGTTCAGCGCGGGCAGGAACATCGCGGTGACACAACGAGAGTGAGAGATGGGGGCAGGATGGTGGAGCTCGTCACCGATGGAGTCACGTGGCACGGACGCGTCACTTTCGCTGCGCAGACGTTTGATGAGCACACACCCGCGCGGAACACCTGTGAACAGAAGAGCGTCGTAGCTCATCGGATTCCTGCAGTATAAATAGATATTCTGATTACGAGAAGAGAAAAAAAAAATCACTTCATATTTAATTAAAAAATATACTTATTTAAGCTCACTGCTAATTAAGGGGATACATGCACACGTAAATACATATTCTGATTCTTAGAAGAGAAAAAACAAATAACTTAATATTTAATGAAAAAATAATAATTAGGCCCACTGCTAAATACGGAGATACATGCACACATGAATACATATTCACACTTTCACAGACTGTTGAGGCAATTGCTGTTAGCGAGCATCTATTAATGCCGGCACACAAGACACTAAGGGGGTGGGTGGCTAGAAACCACGTCCCCTTGCGGCTATAGTTTACACACAACACCAGGTAGAGGTTAAGGCTGAGTCGACCTAGGGGAGGCCCAAGTCCAGTTCAGATATTCACCACCGATGTTGGCCTAATGGATGTGAATCGCAACTCGGGTCGCCAGGGTTCTCAGTGCAGTGCGCTAACCACTACACAACACATGGGTACATACACATACACGTAGTGACATATCGATACAAATAGATGCACGTAAACAGCGACTATGTACAATTAGCGGAGGAAGGTAATGCGTGCCATATGTGGTTGAATGGTTTCCATAATTTGCATTTAGGAGCGGAGGCCTTTTTAGATACAACGTGAGTGAGTAGCTTTGACGCTGCGAGGAAAACGCATCACCCAAACGTAGACGTACGTTATCGGAAAAAAAAACATTTTTTTTTCGATTTAAAGCTTTCGTGACTGCAGGGATTCATCTTCTTGGTTCTTTCGGTAAAGTCACGTAGAATGGAAATAATAAAATAATAAAAAAAGACTGCCTTCTCGACAGACCTGCTCTCCACCTGAGGATGGCTGCCTGCGTTGTGGCCGAAACGTCGTGACAATTATTTTATAATGTTTTATTTTATTATTTTATTATTTCCATTCTACGTGACTTTACCGAAAGAACCAAGAAGAAAAAAAGAATTATTGGTGCGGTTTGGGGCCGGTTCGCGATTCTCGTGAAATTCATGAAATCGGGTCGGGTCAAAAGAGTCGACCCGCCGCAAGACTTGACCCTGCACAGCACGTGTCGCCCACCAGTGGACATCAGAGGCATCACGAATATACAATTTTAGAGTCGGGGCAAGTGGTTGAGCAATACATGTGACTCGCATAACCGGAGTTCGATTCCCGGCTACAGCTAACAAATCAGTGGCGAGGGATAACTGAATCGGTCCTGGGCTCCCACCCGTTCACGAAGCCGCACTGACCAGCGTGGTGAAGTATGGTCAAACAAAGCCCATGATTATTACAGTTTGTGAAGGCTGTTATCCAGTGGTCGATTGACAGGAGTGATTAATATTATTTTCATGCGAATAAATCAAATACACTTTCATAATGAATTTCGACGCACGGTAAATTTCACGGGGTTACATTTTCTCTTGCAAATTGAAATAATAACAATCGAAATATATAATGTTCTCTAGTTACCCGGCAAAGTTTCGAACATTCTCAAGACTTGTTTTTCAAGAGGGCTTTGGGACTTTTGGCCAGCGCCATTAGCGTGTGGGTGCAACGTGGGAGGAGACGGAAGAAACCCCTCTCAGGCGAGAGGGTAACACCTACAAGCTCCGTGGAGTTAGGTTTAAGAATCATTTTCTGTACTGCCTATCTCTTGGGCTATTTCACAGCCCAAGTCTGTAACAGTTGGCATTCAAGTAGTTTGCATGTGCAAAACACGTGGCCGCGTGTTTTTTTTTCTTCTGCGGGTCCTCCGTGTCTTCCCTCCACATTTAGAAATATGCGTTTAGAGTATTTGTCTGTTATACATTTCCACATGTTAGGCCACTTCGTTGGGCTATGATTTGTGATAGCCAGGTCGCTGCTTCTGATAAAGAGCTGAATCGCTCAGCGGGCCTTTACCTGGTAAAAAAACTACTTTAACAGTTTTAATAGTAACCATGCTCAAAATCCTGCTTACCTTCCAGGAAGTGATGAAATCGGGCACAATCGGTGCGATTCGCTAGTGAGCCGAACGCATTTTAGAATATTTTACGTCGAGTAAACGCGTGAACCACAATCAATCTGCGAGCCGCATGCGGTGTCTAAATCACGGGTGCTCTTACACTTCCAAGGCATCTGGGCAGCGTGGAAGAGTAGGCCGATGCACCTTCTAGTCGAGGGCCCTTCGGCCCGCGGTAGGCATGCACCTGGCGGTAATTTCCATCGACCACCCAACAAAGACAATGACATTTGTCTTACGTTGCGTTCTTTTGTTTGCCAACAGTAAATAGGAGAATTGACTCAGGGGAGCTTCGCTTGCATTTCAACTCGGTTTGTCTTCCAGGAGGGCCCCAGCGATGGCACGTTTCCCCAAATTCCACCACGGGTGTTTGTCTCGCGAGCGCGTGCGCCAACAAGGAGTAGCAATGCCTCGTAATAGCCGGTGCAATCACAGCAATCTCGCAGGGTTAAGAGGCTGGCTGCAATTACCTATCAGATTACCACCATTACCATGGATTTTTGTTGTTGTTGTCCAATTCCTCAAACTAAAGAAAAAAAAATGGGTTCCACTCTGTGCGCGTCCGTTTAGATGTGATCCACGGTTTGGTCCATAATGGTGGCCACAAGTTGCGATGAAATTGCACGGGCGTGCGGTGGCGCGGAAGAGATGCAAACACATGGCTACACTCGGCGCGTCGCTTTGATGTTCGCCTCGAGGAAGAAGCGAAGAGGAAGGAAGAAAGACGAGAGAGAGAGAGAGAGAAAGAAAACAAAACCCGAAGCTCAATTCACCGAAAATTATAGCCGGGGTGGTCTCAAGAATTCGTTCACGTAATTATTTTGAAAAAACATTTTTGTTAACACGCCCTGGATCTTTTCGCCGTTCGCAAGGGAAGTCTCGTGAAGTTAAAGCCGTCAAGTAAAGCCGAGGCGTGTGTGCATTTTTGTAGTCCTACCCATTAATTCTACAGCAGCCCGGCACAACACAAGTCGCGATGCACGGAGCATTAATGCCGCGACTGTAAAACAACAACAATAAAAGACCGCAAGGACATATTGGGCTAAGGAACACAGCAATAACTGTACAACAAAATCCATTCTTTGCCTCGCCTCCGCGCGGTGGTATTCACGAATCGAGAGCATCTCAGCTTCAATTTAATGATCGTGACGGCTTTTTTTTGTTACACGGGTACGGTCTCAGCGCCACGCAAGGTGCGAATTTTTGTGACGCTTTGCACCGCACCGCGCGATGTGGAGCGTCACCAAAATGACTCTATTGAGCCATGGATCGGTGCCATTCGTCGTCAAGAAGAAGAACAAAAGGGTGCAGGTGGCAGAGGAAGGGTAATTTCGGGGAGGATAACCTGTGATGCCCCCCCCCCCTGTCTCTCTGAAGCAACAAAGGGCCGGCCCCGTGTTTACACGACCTCCCCCTTTTTGGGGAAAATAAATTCCAGCCCAACTGGCCTCTGCGCACTCAACCGTGTGTTTGTTTCTGCGTCGTCGACGGACCGCCCGACCGTGAAATCGTCCGCCCGCGAGTCTTTGCGGCACGGGGGACAGCTCCCGCCATGGATGCAGTCGCGCGCCCGCCTTCTCTCCTCCTGCTGCTGCTGCTGTGGCAACTCCTGCAGCCGATGTCATCGCCGCCGTGCCATGTGCTCTCCGTTCAGCTGCCCGCGCACGACTCTCAAGACTCCGCGCGGATGTCGAAGAAAAACCCGATGGTCCCGGGCGACGTTCTGGGGCAAGCGGGCGCGGTCGACCACGACCACCAGCAGCTTCAGCAGCAACTTGAGGGCCTCTCCAATCCGGAGCCCGTGGCAGCACAGGCGGACGAGCCGCGATCTCTGTCGCTCGGCGCGCTCACGGGACAGCTGCAGGAGCTGCAGCTAGACGTGGCGGTGCTGAGCAAGGGGCTCAGGCAGGGTACCTCGCGGCTGGCGGAGCGTCTCAACTCGCTGGAGTCGGTGGTGTCTGCCGAAGAGTCCAGGCTGCGGCGCGCGGGAGAGGCCACCAAGGAGGCGCTTGCGTCTCTCGACAGGAGGATGAGCGCAGTGACGAGCCTGCTGCTTCGTTTGGTGGCCGCGTGCGACTGGAGCTGCGGGGATGCCACCCAGCAGATCAGACTCGGTACGGTTAGTTTTTGCATCCCTGGCCTTTCGCGTGGGTCAAACCCACTCACGCCATTGACGTGGCGTGAGCGGTGGTTGGAAGGGATGGGGGGTGCCACGGTGGCGCAGATGTTGACTACCTTTCCTGATATGCAGGAGGTTCATGGGTTCGATCCCGACCCTGACGCCTGTTTATTTGGAGTTTGAATGTTCGTTCTCTCTCTCTCTCTCTCCGTTTGTCGCGTGGATTTTTCTCCAGGTCCTCCGGTTTTTCGCTCCACATTTAGAATCGAAGTGCGTTTAGAGTACAGGATGCTTCAAATAAATGTTAACACTTACATGGAACTATCGTTTTTAATGGGAAAAGAACGGATAATACACCGTGATATGATAACAAATGTATGTTAATAGCTTCAAAAAGTCAAAGAGTCTCCACTCGTTCACTATCGTTGTCAACACGTGCCTGGAATCTTCTCCAGGTGGTCTCCAGAGCCCGGAGGCACATCTCTTGTGGTGTTGCAAATTTTCGGAAGTGTTCACGTGTTTTTGAAACATCCTGTATTTGGCTGCGATTCATTTCCACGTGATAAGCCACTTCGTTGAACTATCATTTGTGGCCTGGTCGCTCCTGAAAAAAGAGCTATACATCTCAGTGTGCCTTACCTAGTTTAGTAAATTAACGAATGTGGGTGTGTGTTTTCCCTGCAGGTTTACGTACACCGTAATTGCTCGTTTTAACGATTCAGTGAGTGCAAACCTAAAACTTGAACACTAAAGAAGTTCAACACACACACACAGAGTGACACACACAGAGTGACACACACACAACAACCAAAGACCCCCCGGGAATCTAACCCAGATCGCCAGGTTCATAGCGCAGCGCGCGAACCGCTACACTATCGCTCCCCACACACACACACGAGTGATGCACACATACACAAATCAAAGATCCCCCGTATAGCCTTAACAGACTGTAGGGGCAAGTGCTGTTAGCGAGCACCTATGATGGCCGGAACGGTACACGAGGCGGTGGATGGCCAGCACCACGCCCGACCGCCTTTGTCTCCCTAGCGGCGATGTTTACACACCGCACCAGGTACTCATTTGAGGCTGAGTCGACCTAGGGGAGGCCCAGGACCGGTTCAGATAATCGTCACTGGTGTTTGCCGTGAGCGGGAATCGAACCCGCGTTGCCAAGTTCGTGGTGCAGCGCGCTAACCGCTACACTACCGTTCCCCACACATACACACACACACAGTGACACACACACCAATGATACACACACATAATGACACACACACAGTGACACACACACATACACACACAGGGACACACACACACATACACACACACACACAGTGACACACACACAGAGTGACACACACACACACAGTGACACACACACATACACACACAGTGACACACACACAGAGTGACACACACACAGAGTGACACACACACACAGTGACACACACACATACACACACAGTGACACACACACATACACACACACAGTGACACACACACAGAGTGACACACACACGAGTGTGTGGTGCTCGGAAGGCAATCAGCATTGCACAGCTCAATCTGAGATGAGAACACCTGGAGAAAAGAAACGGTAACATTTACGATCTCGCGCCGAGGTGACGTGTAAACAGCACGCACCACTGACTCTTATCTCCGAATCCTCAGCACCAGGTGGAGCAAACAGAGTGAGAGAGGAGGGAGCGAGGGACACTCAGTCAGTGCAGGTGTGGAGGGTGTTTAATCAAAAAAAGCAGCCGTCCTCAAGTCAATTCCATTAAGCTGCATTGCTCCCATTCCTTCACGTTAATAAACAAACTGACGATCTCAATGCGACGAGGTGACGTTAAATAAAGTCCAGCCATTGTCAATCCACCAATGGATGAAGATATTCACGTGCAGTGTCTTCGGGGCGCCATGGTGGCGAGGAGATGTTAACTACCTCGCCTGGTATACCGGAGGTCGTGGGTTAGATCCCGACCCTGACGCCTGCTGTGTCTTGGGAGTTTGCGTGTCTCTCTCATCATCACGGTGGCGAGGAGATGTTAACTACCTCGCCTGGTGTACTGGAGGTCGATGGTTAGATCCCGACCCTGATGCCTGCTGTGTATTGGTAGTTTGCGTGTCTCTCTCTCTCCGCGTGGCCGCGTGAGTTTTTCTCGGGGTCCTCCGGTTTCCCCCTTCACATTTAGAATCAACGTCACGCGTTCAGAGTATTTAGCCGCTGTACACTCAGCCACTCGGTCGTGCTATCGTTTGCAGGCCAGGTCGCTTCTAAAAACAGCTACTTAACTCAGTCGGTCGGAATGTGATCGATACGTTGGTACGGGTACATTGCACGTTTTGTAAAAAAAAAAGTGACACTATTGTTGGGGTGGCAGAGGGTCAATGACAAGAATGTTGTCGCAAAACTACCGCATAATAGCTAGAACGCAAACAAAAATAAAATAAATGAACGTATTGGCGGTACACTGGTGGCGTGCGGGAAAAGGTAAAAAAAAAAAGTATTATAAAAAAATTCGCAATAATTTTTTAAAATTTCTCGCGATTCGCAAGCCCAGTCAGACACATATTTCGGGGTGGTGGTGGTGGTGATGGTGGTGGAGTCAAAATCAGTTCTCGTGATGTCGTAAGCGGTCGGAAGACGTTCCCACGAGCCGGCTGAACACGTGGGGTCACAGTCTGTCGCCGCTTGGCAGCACCCAGCCACGACCACGGTCGGCTGCTCCGTGTTCCAGAGGCAACATGTGACTCATCGCGCCCTGCGAATTGGTCGGACGGTGCCTCGATTCAACGGGACCCAAATCAACGGTCAATATTGACCCCTGTTTATTTGAGCAAGTCTCAGCAGACTGAATCAACCTTAGAATCGCGTCAACATTGGCGACACGAGTCAATTAAAGGCTGACAAACAGACATACCGCTTTGGTTCTTTCGGTAAAGTCACGCAAGTGAAAAAACATATTAATAATAATAAAATAAAAATACATTTATAAATAAAAATAGAAATAACTCAATTAAATCATGACGTTTCGATTGCAACACAAGCAATCAGTCATCAGGTGTGGAAATCACAGCTAGAATTTTTTTACCTACGTGACTTTACCGAAAGAACCAAAGAGTATGTATCCTTGCTGTCATGAAAACTTCAAATCTAGAATGGACTGACAAACAGATTTGCTAAAATCAAATTTGGACCGGTGTGCTATGCTGAACCGGTGCACCGCCAATACGTCCACATGTGGAATCGGAGGTGACTAGCTAACAACATCATCGGGCAGCATTTGTTTGGTAGTCACACTGCTGATGAGGCTGGGAACGTTGAAACCGGTCCACAGTTTTTCCTGGCTTAAACCAATGCTGCTGAAAAAAAAACTCCATTATGGACGATATTAATCTTGATTTGAAGCTTTCGTTACTGCAGGAATCCATACAATTTGGTTCTTTTGGTAAAGTCACGTAGGTAGAAATAAAATAAAACGAACCACGTGCCATTACCGAAATAACCAAATAGTTTGGATGATATTGGTCACGAAAGCCTCCGTGTTAAAGCTGCTGGAAGCATTACTCCACAAAGGCTGAGACTCCCAACGGGATATTTACATTTTTCTGCAGGTGAAACAGATACTTTGTCTGTTTATACGTACGTGACTTTATCGTAAGAAAATATCGTGTCATTTAACAGTCTATTAGTATCACTGTTGTGAGATAACCAGAATATTGACTCAAATCGTGACGTGTTATTATTGTAACTCCAAGTATTACTGCCACTTCAGGTTTCAGGTCAGGTTTATTATCAGCCCTTCAAAGGAGCATAATAAACCATCACGCACACTCCGATCTTCCTCGCAGCGGCTGATGGAAAACCATCGAACAAAAGGCGGTCACCGCATCGCACACATTCAGGATGCGCTTCTGCGGCCGTCTGGAACGCTCTTCGTTCCGATATTAGGAAGCCACTGGAGGTGTGCACTTTGAAAACACACCGGTGTGCTGAACTAGTAACGAATTGGCACGTTTCGTTTACGGGACAAACCTTATTAATTGGCTGTGTCGGGTGGTGGCGGGTTTAACGACGCATTTATATTTATGCGATCTAACCCAAAAAATGTAAGCCTCTCACGGACCGGTACAACATTTCAAATGAGTAAAAATGGACGAGGACATTTCTAAAATGTACAAACATCTGAACGTGAAACTCTCCTGAAGATGAATTCTGACACTCGGCGAGCTTTTCCTGTTGACAATTTCTATATTTTTAGTAAAAACAATATGACTGTGTGTGTATAGATATTGTTTACACGTGAAAATGAGATTAGCAGGTGTGCATGTGCCAGGTGCATTTTCTACATGGCAGTGTCATGAAATGGGCACACTCGTGCAAAGACCTCCATCAGATCGATGATGGTACATTTTTGACCGAATAACCAAATCCCGTGTTCGCTCTTTCTCTCCCTCCCTGCACCCCTCCACTTGACTAGAAAGCCACTGGGACTACGGAACTATATTGACAATGTATTTATTTAGAACTGCTTTTAGTGTCTTGTCCTTTCCCCCGCACCTCCGATTATCACGGTTGACTACGTACGGTGCGAAAAAAGTTCAACATACACACAAAAACAAATGCAAAGATCTCCCGTATAGCCTTAACATACTGTAGGGGCAAGTGCTGTTAGCGAGCACCTATGAAGGCCGGAATGGTACACGAGGGGGTGGGTGGCCAGCACCACACCCGACCGCCTTTGTCTCCCTAGTGGCGATGTTTACACACTGCACCAGGTACTCATTTGAGGCTGAATTGACCTCGGGAAGGCCCATGACCGGTTCAGATAATCGTAACTGAGTGTTGGCCTTGAGCGGGAATCGAACCCGTGTCGCCAGGTTCGTAGCACAGCGCGCTAACCACACCTCTGACTACACTGGTCAACACACTTTTTCTGGCATAAGGTATTCCAACGGTTTTAAGGTAATTTTGGGGTGCTGATTCCAAATCTGGCATCAGTTTTTGTCTATCACATCAGGTTTTTGAGATATCAAATATTGCATTTTCAATAAAAACTGCATAAGAAAAATATTAAATAAATGTGGATATCTACATAAAATTATATTATAAACACACTATCCTAAAATGACAGCACCATATTTTTACACTAAAGCAGTCACTGACTCGCAACAGCTTGCAATTATAAGTGACAGAGTTAATTTCGGGTAAAATCAATGAAAATGGGGGTATGCCGATAGCATAAAAATTAGATCTGATAGAGCAAATCTGAGATCAGATTTGGAATCAGCACGCTGAAATTAGTCTAAAACAGCTGCAAAAGTCCAGGCCAGAAAAAAAGTTTTTTTTTTTGTTGACCAGTGAATTATCACGGTTGGCTACGTACGGTGTCGAAAGAAGCTCAATATTTCTTCCCCCTCCAACCCAGCAGCTTAAATATACGCTGCCAAGCCTGGTGGTGTCCATTCAGACGCTGTCTTTCCGACAGACCTGTTCTTCACCTGAGGACGGCTGCTTGCGTTGTGGCCGAAACGTCGTGATAATTATTTTATAACGTTTTATTTTTTTTATTTTTTTATTTCCCTTCTACGTGACTTTACCGAAAGAACCAAGAAGAAGCTCAACATATACGCGCGCACGCGCACATACACCGTCGGCGTGCGGTGGGATCCGTTGGGCCAAACGTGGGCTCGGCATTTGGCCCCACCGATGTTGACAGCGCACGTGACTCTTTGTGGGTGTTCACCGGCGTACAGAGAGTCGACGACTACAGAGCCTGGACACGAGCGTGCGGCTCCTCCCTTTGTCGCCCGACATCTCGAAGCAAGATTCCACGGACGGTAAATCCTCGACCGCACCACCCCCCATCACACGCGGCTGACGCCACCGCCGCTGCTGCAGCTGCTGACATTTCACACGCAAATGCACCACCACCACCGCCACCACCCCACCCACTTCCCACCACCTTTTGATTGAGTCCTAAATGACTGCTTTGGGTTCAGTCGGTGTCTCATTGCGAATGGGCGTAAGGGTCCGGCAGCGAAGTGACGCACACAGCCGGTAATCGACGTCGCTTTTGATGCCCGAAGTGCGCGCATGTGGAATTGACTTGCGAGTCGTTGCAATGCGACGCGGGTTCAAGAGCTGCAAGGTTTGGTGGATGTGCGGGGTTTTTAGAGCCTCAGTAATTCCAGGATGTATTGTTTAGAGCAGAGGGGTTGTCTATATTGGTGTGGGTGAGAGGCAGATGTGTTCGCCGCTGGGGGTGCGAGATTAACCTTTCTTGGGAGTGCGGGACATGGGCAGATTTTGTTTTTAGAGGGTAAATCATTGAAACACACACATTAAGGACGGGCACGTAAGTACTTTGTTTCATCAAACACACCTATGTATGTATTAACATTAGATATGTTTTAATGATTGAGAACTACAGGGGTGCAAGGCTGCAGTAAAGGTTTAGAATCACTGACCTAGACTAAGAACTAATTCAATTCCCCTCCGGGCCAGCCAGAGATGGGAAATATCTGCATACCAACCGCATAAAAAACAAATGAAAGTTCATCGTTACATTTGTAGTTTGTAATTGCTATCTTTATTACACACCTCAAAGTAATGGACAATGTGTAACGATCTGTATCAAAGTTACATTGCCAGGAATAATCTAAAATTTGAATGCATTTTTGTCCAACTTTGCCGGGCCCCCCTTGAAAATGGAGCGATCCGTGAATCAGTGCTCGCAAATATAACTGCCCAGAGGTAACCACGGAAGATGCCACTTTATTTGGAGGGGTGTTTCGGTCTTGGCATTCGCTCACAATGATACATTCGTCTCAAGGTACCACATTTGTTTTCTTTAAATTGACGTAATCCCTCCCGCCACCCCCACTACCGATGTCACGTCACGTGATGACGAATCCATTTGGAAATCTCACAGAGCGCTGTGACCCACGGGTCAGAGAACGGATGCACAAGAGATTTTAGGCGTCAGGGTAGCGAGACGTTTACTACTTCGCCTGATATACAGGAGGTCGTGGCTTCGATCCCGACCCTGAGTTTGTATGTTCTTTCTGTGGTCGCGTGGATTTTTCTCCAGGTCCGCCGGTTTCTCCCTCCGCATTTAGAAACATGCGTTTAGCTGCTACTATATATTCCCAAATTTTAAGCCACTTGGTTGAGCTATCGTTTGTGGCCAGGTCATTTCTGAAAGAGAGCTACATAGCTCAAGTGGGCCTTACTTGGTAAACTATAAATAGTTATTATAATATTATTATAAATAGTTTGTAGTTTCATCTTTAGTTTATTTACATGCAGTGGCTATCCCAGAATCCAGGTGCACAAGTCGTGAAAACTCTTGCTTGACATTGCAGAGGATGATGTTGCTGCTGCGGCTGCTGCGGCTGCTGCCTTGAACGGACGACTCTTCCCAGAGGACTGCGCTGACATCTACAAGCAGAAGATCAAGGAGAGCGGCGTCTACACCATTCAGCCTGCGTCTGCCCAGGTGCCCTTCGAGGTGAGGGTATCGGGCACCCATCCTTCGCGCCCCATCGTTTCTGTTCTCCTCTGCCGAGAGTCATTTGCAGGCCTCGATCTTGGCGAAGGTCTCTCCTACTTACGGTTTGTTGCCGCGGGAGTGAGTCGGGTCAGCGACCTGGCGGACGCTCGCCAGCGGAGGTGGCGGCCAGCTCTGGGGCTCTCCAAAGCGGCCGGACTTCGCTCCAGCGCTCGCCGGGGAGAAGCTGCTGCGGGAGGCGACGCTGAACAAACTGGGATTGAAGCTGGAGATGCCAGACGGCAGCGAAGGACGCTCCTTCCCCCAAATGACTCTCTCCTGCGCCGCCACCTCCGATCGCAAGGACAGGGGAAAGCTCTTGAAAATGAAGAGATGCAGAGACGTCTCGTTGAGGGAGGCTCACAACAAAAGAGCTGTACACTTACTGTGTAAAAGTTCCGCGTTTTCAGGACCTGGAGAAATTACCGGACACAAAACGGAGAGAATATTTCTCCCCATCGATGGAAGCTGGTCCCCAGTGGCGTGGCACGTACAAGCGCCCCACTGCAAAGCGCTGTGGCGACCTCCAATGGAGATTGGCTCACTGGACTGTGCCCTCAGTTGTGTGGGTCAGCTGAGCCTCACCAGGAACTTCTGACACCCGCGCGTTTTGCGGACCGAGAGAGGATCTCGCCCACCAATACCTCAAGCGCAAACGGCTCGACCCGCTGTTCCGCTTCTTAGCACAGATCTTCACGAGGCTGGACACCCCTTTCTGCGAGAGTGCACTCGTGTGCGGAGTGGCCCTGACGAGCGGTAACAGGCGCGACGTCGCTAACTCTGTGTGTGTTCCCAGGCAGAACTGGCGATCTATAAAACCAGGAAGCAAAGGCTGGAGGGCGATAGTTGTGACTGTGGGGGCAATGGCAATGCTGAAGGCCCTCATAGAAGCACGGCTAAAGCTGGAGCACGCGTACTACGATCATGCTGGGGGGGAAGGTGTCTTTTTAAAATAAATGGGGGGGGGGGGGGCGCCGGGGGGGCCTATGCACAACTGTAAATAAATAATGCACTTCACTACGCATTCTAATCCCCCCCGAACTCTCTCAGAGATGATCGACGCTTCGTACAAGTGCGCTGTCACTGGTTGCTGGCATTGACGCTTCCTAGAAGCAATACAATTTATTTTAAAAGTCAAAGGTCTCTCTGTCTCCCTGTCTCTCTGTCTCTCTCCCTGTCTCTCTCCCTGTCTCTCTGTCTCTCTCCCTGTCTCTCTGTCTCTGTCTCTCTGTTTCTCTCTCGCTGTCTCCCCGTCCCCCGCGCGTGCGCTCGCAGGCGTTCTGCGACATGGACACGGACGGCGGCGGCTGGACCGTCTTCCAGCGCCGGCGCGACGGCTCGCGGGACTTCAACCGCACGTGGGCCGAGTACAAGCGCGGCTTCGGCGAGGTGGGCGGCGAGCACTGGCTAGGCAACGATCGGCTGCACCAGCTGACTCGGGCGGGTGACGACGGACCCTCGCCGTCGTCGCCTCCATCATCGTCGTCATCGTCGTCGTCACAGTCTTCGTCACAGTCGTCACAATCGTCGTCATCGTCGTCACAATCGTCATCGTCGTCGTTCACGCTGCGCGTGGAGCTCGAGGACTGGCACGGCGTGCGGCGCCACGCGCTCTACGCGCACTTCCACGTCGCGTCCGAGCGCGAGCGCTACCGCCTGACGGCGCGCGGCTACCGCGGCGACGCGGGCAACGCGCTCAGCTACAGCCGCGGCTACAACCACGACGGGAGGCCCTTCTCGACGCCCGACCGCGACAACGACGCCTACGCGGCGGGGAACTGCGCCGCCTACTACGCCTCGGGCTGGTGGTTCGACTCCTGCCTGGCCGCCAACCTCAACGGGCGCTACCACCGCGGGGGCTACCGAGGCCGAGTCACCGACGGCATCTACTGGGGCACGTGGTACATCCTGAGCGACTACCGCACCGGGCGCAAGTACTCGTTCCGCTCCGTCGAGATGAAGGTCCGCCCGGCGCGCTTCTGAAGCGCGCGCTGCCGGGGGTGGGTTGGGCGGATCGGAGAGAGGGTGAATTGGATGGTGAGGTCGATGATGACGATGGTGGTGATGATACTCAAAACGAACTAAGCTAGTTTTAAATTTATAAGGCCCACTGAGCTATGTGGTGGGGTAAAGTGTGGATGGTCCCAGCTCTCCCAAGGCATCTGGAAGAGTAGGCCAACGAAACTGCCACAGAGGGGCTCTGTTGAACTCTCGCTCGTGGAGGCCCTTCTGCCAGCAGTGGCCTTAGCATGTGAGCGCAGGACAGTAGATTTATCGTTCAACTATTATGCCGCACAATAATGTCGGTTGAACAATGTGTATGTTGGTTATTCGCGAAACTGTGGCTCAGAGGTCAGAACGCTGAGTAAGTACCGTTGAGATTCTGGGTTCATATCCGGACCGCCACGGTGGCGAGACGTTAACTACCTTGCCTGGTATCCAGCAGCTATGTAGCCCACTGAGCTATATAGATATTTTTCACAAGCGACGTGGCCATCACAAATAATAGCTCAACGAAGTGGCTTATCACGTGGTAATTTATACGAGCCAAAGTACTCTAAATTGACGTTCATTTTAAATGTTGAGCGGAAAACGGAGGACCCGGAGAAAAATCCACGGGACCACGGGGGGAACAGCGCAAATTACAAATATAGAACAGGCGTCAAGGTCGGGATCGAACCCACGACCTCCTGTATACCCGTCGAGGTAGTTAACATGTCCTAGTCACCATGGCGCCCCAAAGGTGAAGACGATGCTGACAATAGCTCCCTCCGGTTTGTAACTCGCAATGGCGAATCGCTTACTCCGAGTAAGCGGCACGTTTAGCGTTTGTCATTTAGTCTCTGGCAGGACAAACAAGTGGGACGTGGGTGGGCGTGTGTTGCAGTAAGGCGATACCTTGGATAGGTCGTCTCATGCAATCTATATTTATACACACAGGGCGCCTTCACTCAAGGCGCTCTGTGACGCAGCGCACACGACGGTGACGCAGAGTGGGATGATGCAGTTGGAGGGATGGGAAGGAGTGGAGGGGCGAGGGGTGGAAAGGGGAAGAGAGTAGGCGATGGAGAAGAGGCGATGCTTTAATAAGGAACGGAAGGAGGTTAAGGAGGGGGGCTGCTATGCATGTGTGCTGAACTTCTTTCGCACCGTACATAGCCAACCGTGCAAATCAGAGGCGCGGGGGAAGGTCAACAATCTAAACGCAAAAAATCAGTTCTGAAGAAATTAATTTTCAATATAGTGCCGTAGCACCAGTGGCTTCCTAGTCCAGTGGAGGGGTGCAAGGAGGGAGAGAAAGACCGAACACGAGATTTGGTTATACTGGTAGGAACCTCATGGTTACACCAGCCCACAGGGGATTATTGTGTCCGTCCGTCGTGCATCAAAAAATGGGAGGGGTGTGGCTGGGTGGAGAGGGGAGGGGCTGGGTGGGGAGGGGCTGGGTGGGGAGAGGAGGGGAGGGTGGGGAGGAGCTGGGTGGGGAGGGTGGGGAGGGGCTGGGTGGGGAGGGGAGGGCGGGGAGGGGCTGGGTTGGGAGGGTGGGGCTGGGTGGGGGGTGGGAGGGGTGGGGCTGGGTGGGGAGGGGCTGGTCACCCCGTGGTGCCCTTATAAAACTCAATGTTTAACCTACTCACGTTGGCTTGTGCCCGCCCTCACAGTCGGCCATATTTGCGGAATACACCACGCCGCCGTTGACCCTGGCCATTGACCGAGCAACCCAACGTTACTACCAGCTCCCTCCGCAGGAATGTGTTTCGGTCAAAAATGTACCACCATCGATCTGTTGGAGGTCTGTGCACGGAGTGCCCACCTCATGACACTGCCATGTAGCAAATGTACCTGGCACATGCACACCTGCTAATCTCATTCATCCATCTCATCTTCACGTGCAAACAATATATATACACACACAGTCATATTGTTTTTACAAAAAAAATATTTAATTGTAAACAGGAAAATCTCGCCGAGTCTCAGAATTCATCTTCAGGAGAGTTTCACGTTCAGATGTTTGTCCATTTTAAAAATGTCCTCGTCCATTTTTACTCATCTGAAATGTTGTACCGGTCCATGAGAGGCTTTTTTTCTGTTTTGGGTTAGATTGCGTAAATATAAATGCGTCGTTAAACCCACCACCACCCGACACAGCCAATTTATAAGGTTTCTCACGGAAACGAACCGTGCCAATTCGTTACTAGTTCAGCACACCGCTGTGTTGGAGAGTAAACCCACTACAACATTGACAATTGGAGTATGACGAACCGCCGGTAAATTACAACCGGCATCATCAAGCAAAAGAGCGAGAGTTTAACAACGCATTTATATTTTACGCAGTCCAAAACACCTCTATTTGTGGATGATATTGTTCGCGCGAGCCTCGTAGGGACTTGTTAAAATGCTGCTCCGGCGGTTGGTCAACTCTCCGTCTCGTCATGTCAAGCGCTGGAAGCCGTTCAGGAGAAACCGCTTCTCTCGGAGCCCAGCAGGGAAATACGAATTTGATTTCTGTATTTTTAATTAACCACTTAGTAGGCGTGTAAGGGGCCGTCCATGAATGACGTCACGCACCTGGGGGGGGGGGGGGGGTCAGACATTTGTGACGATGTGTGACGAGGGGGGGGGGGTGTTGAGAAATGTGACGTCACATCAAAAACATCAAAATGCGCAACTTGAAATAGACAACGCGTTCTACTCAATTAAATAGACTTTTTAATAAATGTTTTCTGCTGCAACATCAGAGTGCAGCGCCACATTAAATACGCACTACAATGACAATAGTTTAAGCGATTTGAAGCATTTTTTTTTTGGGGGGGGGGGGGGACAGAGCTTTGTGACGTCATATTTGAGGGGGGGTCTGACTTTTTGTGACGCCGTGTGACGTCGACGGGGAGGTGGGTCAAAAATCACCCAAAATCGCGTGACGTCATATATGGACGGCCCCTAATGGTCGCATCCGCGCCCTCCCACATTCCACCCAGCAACTTGGGCAATTGTCATAATGGGATTTGAGATTTGTGTCTCGTTGCTACCGTCTCGCTCTGTGTAATTTACTCTTTCCTGTATAGTGCGTTGAGTACGTGGATGTATTACCCTTTGTTCTGCCCGGTTCTCGTAGCGTGAAGGTAACATTAGCATATCACTTTAACCAAAAATTGTACAAAATATAATCTGTTCTTAGCGATAGTGTGAGTGTAAGCATTGCCTAAAATATTAGAGACGCGTTCGTGTCTACCACTGAGATTGGCTGCTTAACATTGTGTGTGAAACTGGAAAATCGAATACACTTGACGTCACCCAAAGCAGCACCAAGACGGTACATGCCTGAATCGTTGCCGAGTGTGAGTGTGTATGTGTGTGTGTATGTGTGTTTACACTGCAGTGATGCAGTCTGTGTAAGGTTGCCATGAGATTTTGAGGTTTAATCTAGAATTGAAGCTTTCGTGACGGCAGAACTTACTATACTCATTGGTTCTTTCGGTAAAGTCACGTATGTAGAAATAAAATAAAATTTAAATAAATCACAAGTAAAATTGCTATTTAATTTGTGATTTATTTTAATTGTATTTTATTTGTGTTTTATTAAAATTTTATTTTATTTCTACATACGTGACTTTACCGAAAGAATCATTGAACATAGTCATTTTGAGGTTTCTGAAGGCTGAGTAGTCTTTTTTACCTTTCGTATGTATTTTGTTTATTGGTAAATGTCAGACGTTGTTAAGGTAGTTGCATAATAAAATGGGTACATTTTCACATTTGTTGCTAGCATGTGTTCTTGACATGAGACACTTTAACCTCTTGTAACTCCAGCAGGGTCAGTGCTGCGTCAACCCCGTGTCAGAAAAAAACCGGTCAGTGGAAGTAGATGCCACAGAACTGCTTCTGAGACTCTTCACGTGACCTCTTATCCCCACCAGGGGGTGGCAGCACTCTGCTTCCCGCGATGTTACGAAACGCCCGTTGAGTGACAGTAAAATCAATACTTTAGAAGTCTTTGTGCTGAAATTCGCCAATTTTAGTGCAACACCAAATTTAATGCGAACGTGGATGGGAAATTAATATACATGATTGATCGTTTATGATTCTTACTTTTGAGCAATAATTCCACACCGAGTTTCCTCTTTGTTGTATTTTGCTAAAGTTAAATGCTGCTTATTTGAGTATGCGTAATTTGTAAAAAAAATAAGTTTGACATATGAATACCTCCTTCAATAATAATAAAAAAAATGTTCCACTGCAGACCAGGGCAAATATTTATCTCTCCTCTACATATATGCGTGTACTTTTTATATACATGAATGCATTTAGAAAAGCAGCGAATGAAATGGTGAAGTACTTTATTTATTTGTGTAATATGGAGTCAATTCACCTATTTTTAACTGAAAACTCGGCAATAGTGAGAATGCTTTCAAAATACATTTGACAAACGACTGCACAGTGAGTGAGTTCTATATTTACAGCCAGAGCAGAGTCCCTGGAGACTGAACACATCCATCTATCTTTAGGAAAGACCGAGGGAAACAAGAAGTCACCATGAGCCATGATTTATCAACTTCTGGATGGAGTCACAACCGTTTCTCTCAGCAATATTCTATCTGAAATAAACTAGCGTTATTTATGGGACCTTTTTTGCTAGTTTCCATGATCATGAAAACATAAGAATACATTTTACCCTGTCTGGCAATAAAACAGGTGTTAAGAAGTCCAAACACCAAATATAAAAATTTTTCACGGCATCATGTCTGAATTAGCCACACGTGCTTGTGGCAAAGCACGCAAACAAACGTGCTTTGATCAAATATCCACCGTCTTTAAAACTGATTGGCCTACACTAGAGACAGCTTTCGTTATGTCCACGCCAAGAGGCGAACAGTACAGAGACAATGCAAGTTTCACAACAATTATAGCTTGTGGCGAGCAGTTATACCTATGGGACTATTTTTGCCAGTAAACTATTCTTATCTTACTCGGCAAGGCCCACTAGCTATATAGCTCTTTTTCAGAAGCGACCTGGCTACCACAAATAATAGCTGAACAAAGTAGCTTATCATATGTGGGAATTTATCGCAGCAGCGATATTCTCTAAACACGTAATGTTGATTCTAAATGTGAAGGAAAAACGCGGAGGACCCGGAGAAAAATCCAGGCGACCGCAGGGAGCGAGACACGCAAACTCCCAAATATACTGGTGTCAAAGTCGGGATCGAACCCACGACCTCCTGCATACCAGGCGAGGTAGTTAACATCTCGCCACTGTGGCACCCGAGTGAAATCTATCTGGTTTGGACTCATGGACTACAGGACC